GGGAAGGAAAAAAATTAAGGTACAATCTGAAATTTAATTCTCCTACCTATAGCACAGAAGATAAAGTCCAGAAAAATCAATTGTGTAAACGTGAAGTCATATAGTCCCGGGTTAACTAAACAACCGAGGTTTTTTGTTTTTGCTTTTTTTTTTAATTAAAAATAAGATACCTTTTATAACAGTATCACAGACTACAGAGTATTTGGAAAAATTCAGTAAAAGTTATGTAAGATTTCTAAAGGAAACATTATTAAGCAGTCCTTAAAGATCATTTTAACATCCCACACTATTAGGCATCTACCCAAAAGAGCACAAAACATTCTACGATAAAGACATCTGCACCCAAATGTTTATGGCAGCACAATTCACTATTGCAAGGATGTGGAAACAACCCAAGTGCCCGTCAATCCATGAGTGGATTATTAAAATTTGGTATATGTATACAATGGAATATTACTCAATCATAAGAAACGACAGTGATCTAGAACCTCTTATACTTTCCTGGATTAAACAACCGAGGTTTTAACAGCCAGGGCTGCAAGATACTAACCTTTCCAGATCTGCTGCTGCTGTCGGCGCCACCTGGCGGTCGTTATCTGCTTACAGAAGGGGATTGTGGGTCCTAACGGCACTAATATCAGGAATCTCTAGGTGGTAGCACCCCTTTCCTTGGTCCGTTTGTGAAACGGAGTTTGGCCAGGCGTATTCAGGGAGACCCATCTCCTGTTCCCTGCTTTTCAAACAGGTTGCAGGTCGCAGGCAGGGGCCGTGGCGAAGGCAGTCTGCGTCCAGGCCCCATGGGCAGCCCTGGCATCCAGAGCAGTACCTGCCGGTGGCAGTGGGGGCAGGCTTTGCCACTCTGCCTGCCGCGAAGTCTCTGGCTTCGGGAACCTAAGGACCATCGGTTCAATGAGGAAGTGGTTGGAAGAATCTGATACAGTTGTCGTGTCAAATCATGGCTCAGAAGGGGACATAATTTAGTGACAGTGAGGTCACATGAAAGATCACACAATTTCTGGAAGTCAGCAGACAATTTAGAAACTATTAGAATTATTTGATACATTGTTTGCACTGTAGCTCATCATTTAAAGCAGTTTTATTAGAAAATAAAAGGGAATATATTTTTTAAATTTTATGTATACGTTTATTTATATATTAGAGTACCACATTGTTTTAAAATATTTTAGTATCACCTGTGTACACAGGTATGTTTTGAATACCAACCTGTACACTTATGAATATATGGGTACATATATATGCACACATGTATATATAGACACATGGTAGACACTTGGAAGTATTCTATCTTGTTTTCTGAATAGAAAGTTGGTCACATAATAACACTTTTAGGTACCCTTTTCCCACTCCTTCATACTTTTTTTTAATGTTGTCCATCCAGATAGTGTATATGGTATTACTTATTTAATATACTATTTGCTAATGATTTATATCTTGCCTATTTTAAGAAAAGATTTGAGGTGGTTTGTGATAGTAAATCATATATAAAACAAGGCAATGGAAAAATATTTGTAAGATTGAAAGACCATCAAGAAAAGAGAGATGAGCATAGGTAAGCTAAACAGTCACAATTTTCGTGTTGAATTTCAGAGGAAAACAAAAGGGAAACAAAATGGGCTATTGCTTCTGGGTCCTCACCTCTGAAGGAGAGCCGGGGTTGATTGTGTCTAGAAGGACTCCCAGGCAAGCAGGGCCAATGGAGACAAGGAGTCTCTCAGTAGTAGTATCTGGTGACACCAAAACAAGAGGAGTGGCTTTGTGAGGACTTGAGTGAGAGGCCAAACTCTATAAGGCACAAGCAGCACTCTGAATGGGTTGGCCAACCCAAGAGGACAAAGGCAGAAGGCAGAGCTCTTTTGGGTAGATGCCTAATAGTGTGGGATGTTAAAATGATCTTTAAGGACTGAGTAACAGCTGTGGGCAACAGCTAGCATTGCCGGGCCAGCCACGGGGTAGGAGGGACAGCAGTGTTTCAAGGGCATGGATATAGAGCCTGTATACTGCTTTGTATCATAAAAGAAACCTACATTCATGGTGACTATTAATTTTGTAAATGACACAGAAATGTTCTTCTCATGAATGCTTCTCCTAATATTCCTTGACAAAAGATAGGGCACATGATTTAAAAAAAAAAAAAAAAAAAAGTCTGGATAAGA